ATTATTGTTTGAGTTGGGGCGAGTTTTCTTCTGTGTGTCTGAAATTGCTTCTAATGATTGGAATCTTGCTTGAAGAAATTTCCTTATTTCAACAAAGTCCTGTATTTCATGGGGCTTGCTTAGCGATTGTTCGTAAAGCTTGTTGGTTTCATGATCCCATTTTCTGCAGATGATGCGACTGATAATAGGACCCCAATTGGAAGTATCGATACTTAGATTATTTATGGCTTCAAGACATTCCACAACTGTATCGTGAAGCTGTTTAATCTTGAATGATGATTCATGATTAATCACTGGCAGATCCAAGATCCTATCTAGTAGTTTGGAGACTATAAGTCTGTTGTTGCTGTATCTGTCATTGAGAATATTCCAAGCAGGGCCATAGTTGGTTTCTGCTATAGATAGGTGCTGGATCAGTCTTCCAGCTTCCCCTCTCACATGCGTTTTAAGATACTGCATTTTCTCTATTGTCGTAATTGTTGGATTTTCATGAACCACTTTGATGAAAATGTCTCGAAATGTAACCCACTCTTCATATCGGCCTTCAAAAATTGGTAGTTTGATTTGAGGTAATGTTATGTTGCATTGTTTCACAACTTGTTCTACTCCTTGAATCTTGTCCTGGAGACTTTGTACTGCTTTTTCGTACCGTTTTTCAAGGTCTTGAATGGGATTTTTGATAGTACTGTCAATTCCTTGAACCTGAAGCTCGATGTATATTTCAACGATAACGTCCTATTGCTTGGATAGCTTCTCTAATAGAAACTGATAACGGTTGCGAGACTGCTCACTGATTAGGTCGTTTGAGATGTCCCTTAAGGTTTGACTCATTTGGTTCATTCGGACTTCTTCTTCTTTCAAACGATTTTTTGGTGCCTGATACTGGTTTAGATCGTAATATGAGGCTTCTTGTTGTGCGGGTGGTTTGGTTGCCTGACGAAGCTTTGGTTTGGAATCGGTAATGTGTTTTGTGATTTCTTGGAATAATTCTTGTAGTTGACGAAAATAATTGTCTGTAAAATACGGATGCGTCGGAATGTCAAGTTCTATAAGTTGTTTATGGTTTTCTTCAATGTTTTCCCAAATGGACTCAAGTTCGGCAGTTTTTCTGAGAAAATATTGTTCATTTTTTCTCTCATGGGGCTCCTTTTTGTAATTGGAAAATAGGGTTTTCAACTTTTTGCCCAAGGTTTCTTGTGCTTTAGCGATTTCGTTGGCTTCTTCCATCTTGGATGTTGCCTACTACTATTGGTTATCTGCTCTTTTTTTTTTTGTGTAGGTATGTTCCGGCTTCTTATTACTTTAACTTCAGGACCTGGTGTTTTTTTGTCTTTTTTGCTGCTATCTGGTGGTATCTGAATTGATTTCTTTGTTTTGTTCTGTTGAGGATGGGATGCTGCAACCAGACAAGGCACTTGCTACAGCGGGAAGGAATGTATGTATAGGTGCTATAGACCGGTGTCTAAGCGTTAACCCCGAAGGGCGCGAGTGTATGTGTATATTTGAATATTAATAGGATGTAGAAAGGAGTGTATAACCAGACAAGGCACTTGCTATACTAGGAACGGGATGCTGTAACCAGACAAGGCACTTGCTACAGCAAGGAAGGGATGTAGGTATTTTTGTGTGGGTGTTTAGACCGGTGTCTAAACGTTAACCCCGAAGAGCGCGAGTGTATGTGTATAGGTTAAAGGATAGGAATGAAGGGAAAACTGTTGCGGAGGGCTGGTTTTCAACCTTTTATCTTCTTTTTGCTCGAAGGACCAATGTAAATTCCTGTCTTGGAATTTAGGCGGCTGTTCGGAACACTTAGTAGTTTGTTGATTGTAGCTTGTAGGTTGGGTTAGTACACCCGGGAAGTTTGGTATTGGGCAGTAAAACCACTGTTGGATTAATACTGATTTTTATTAAACAATTAACAACTATTTATATACAAAAAATGCAACTTTAACAAACGTCATAAACAATGGTAATTAATTGAAAGAATAAATTGCTGACAAAATTCTGTTGGGTGCTCCATATTGAAGGATTTGGTAATTAGATTTTTGATGACGCTGCGTTTGTTTTAGATCGTATGTTTCCTGGTGACCTACTGGCGGTGTATAGTGTTGATGATCTAGACGCTAATAATTAATTAATTTTTGTAATGATTTTGATAAATATAATTTAGGGTTTTTTATGACTAAATTTTGAATTTAGACACAGTAAATATTGAACTGATGTTAGAAAAGCTAAACAAACTAGGTTTCCGAGAAAAGTGTAATGAGCTGCTAAGGTCATATTCATCTGGAAGAAAACAGTTCACAGTTGTTGATGGTGCGAGTAGTGACTTGGAAGAAATATCAGTGGGTGTTGCTCAGGGATCGGTTCTTGGACCACTGCAGTACTTGTTATATGTGCACAACTTGAAGTTGCTCGATCTAAAATGCAAATACTTTATGTTCGCAGACAACACAGTTTTGGTTTATTCTGCTGCGAATGAAAAAGACATGGAAGAAACCATGAACCTGGACTTAACTTCGTATCAGGAATGGCTGTGCACAAATAAATTAACAATCAACATAAGTAAGACATGATAATAAAGCAAACAGGAAAAAAAAGGTGCAATCCAGTGATAAAATTGAATGGGCAAATATTAAAGCAAATAACAAATTATAAATACTTGGGACTTACTATTTCTGATAATTTAACATGGACATTACACATAGAAAATATAATAAATAAAGTAGCACCTTTTATTGGAATTTTAAAGAGATGTACACACCAACTAAACAATGACTCAAAATATTTGATATATAACAGTTTCATTGAGCCCTACTTGAGATACCTCATTCCCTGCTGGGGAAATGCTAGTGAGTTTTTAATCAATAAACTACAGAGACTACAAAATAAAACCATAAAAGTCTTATTCTCATTGGATTATTTAACGTCCAGTAAGGAGTTGTACAAAATTTATCCGTTTCTTCACATTAAACAGCTAAAATTATTTGAACAAATTAAGTTAGTTTACTGTGTGCAAAATAAATTAATCAAAGTAAACAACATATTTAGACAAAATAAGGACTTTCACAACTACAACATAAGATCAAAAACTTCACTAAGAAACTCGGCAGCCCGCACCAAGAAGAGGCAAGACTCCCCATATGAAAGAAGTATCCAGTCGTATAACAACTTACCAAAAAATATGGAAATGGAAGGCAAGCAGGACAAAATATACAAAGAACTGAAACAATATATCCAAGAAAAAATTTATTAAATGTTATTGTACATAATTAATGCTATACTCTATTATAAAGTAAATTGTTAAGTAATAACCTAACCTAACTCTAGATTATATTAAATTATTGTTTAGGCCTTAATACCAGATGTAAGTCTGTTTCAAGGTCAGAAATAAATAAATAAAAAACATAAAAATTTAATATACTAAGACACTAACGGCCATTTGCACCGTTATAACTTAAGGGATATTTAATCCAAGTGGAGTTTTGAATGTGACTCTTGTAGAAACAAAAGTCACATTCAAAGCTCCACTTAGATTAAATATCCCTTAAGTGATAGCCGTGCAAATGGCCATAAGTGATTCTGGTACAATTTACCTTTAAGCCTGGTGAGTCACTTGATACAGGTTCCAACTGGGTATTTCGGTTGTCTTAAAAGCTAGGTATATGAAATTTTTTCCGGAAGTCACGTAAGTTATTAGAAGTAGTATTCAGCTAAAAACCCATTTTCGAAAAAAAAGTAACTTAATACAGTTCACCTCTGAGGTACAGATCTGTGTTGATATTTTTTTAAATGTTGTAGTTTAGCTCCTTTTTTCATTTTTATACTTATAGTCCAGGAGGTGGCGCCAAAAACATGCAAGAGTTTTCGCAAGGCGGATATTTTCAAAATAGGTCGTACTTTAGTGCTAGAATGCTAGTGTACAGTCAGCACTCACAGTTCCGGGACAGCTGGCTCTGGGACGCGGGCAAAGTTGTAATTTTAAGAAGCATCTAAACTGTTTTCTCAAAGCTCAAAATTTATAGAAATTTTGCACATTATCTGTTTGAAGGTCACAGATAACGTATGTAAATCGTCAGACGTCTAGTTCGTTGCAAAAAGGGGGTCAGACTGCCTCAAAGTTTTTATTTTATGGCATTTTCTTCGGTGTCCTGTCAAAATATATTTTTGCAGGTATTTGACAAATATATTTGAAGAAAATGCCATAAAATAAAAACTTTGAGGACGTCTGACCCCCTTTTTCCAATGAACCAGACGTCTGACGATTTACATACGTTATCTGTGACCTTCAAACAGATAATGTGCAAAATTTCTATAAATTTTGAGCTTTGAGAAAACAGTTTAGATGCTTCTTAAAATTACAACTTTGCCCGCGTCCCACAGCCAGCTGTCCCGGAACTGTGAGTGCTGACTGTACACTAGCATTCTAACACTAAAGTACGACCTATTTTGAAAATATCCGCCTTGCGAAAACTCTTGCATGTTTTTGACGCCAGCTCCCCAACTATTAACTAGAAACTCCTTTTTCAAAAATAATCGTAAGTTAGGTTAAATAAAATAATGCACTAAACATTTGTAGACGAAAGAAGGGAAAAAACTTTCAATATTTCAATTCAATCACTTACAGTCACACAATCACTTACAGTAGTAAGTAGTAATTAAGTTGATGTCACAAAAATTGCTTGTTATTGTCCAGAGTCTTTCATAGTCTAACGAGTTTGGTTCGGTGTCCTTACCAGTACATATAATACGTATAAGGAATGATAAACCTTTTATTTATTATGAATTCTATTTTAAAGCCAGTTGACTCGATCACTATATTGAGTATTGAGTGATATTGGAAGGAAACAGGTTTGCCGGCACTCAAATTCCAGGCTCACTGGACAATGAAAAACGCATTCTTGGTTGAATAAGTAGCATCAAATAGGCAAATAAAAGAAAATGGCTTTCATGCCCATTGAAATAGGAAATATTCTATTTCAAAAATATTTTTTTTGTAGTTATGTATTCTGATAAAAGTAATGTACTGCAAGAGAGTAGAGCTTTGGAATCTAATAAAACCCAAGATTCAAATTTAGATGTTTCGAGTACCGGCAGAGGCCAAAAACGTTCCGGAGCCACTGAGCAAGAAGTAGTTAAGATGCCAAGGATCGAAGAGACTGATGATGCCTCTATCGTAAGTTGTGTTATTTTGCTACATATTAATAGATAAAAATAAATTGGTCTGAAATTTGATTTATATACTTATATAATAATATTTCAGTGAAATTTAAAAAGGCCAGACCATTGTCCATAAGTGAAATAATTTAAGAACATACACTTTATTTACATTTTGTAGGATAAATGAATACACCTTACTATTATTGGTTTACAATAGAATCCGATTCAAAACCTATGAGCATATTGAATGCAGTTCTGTTTTCTGTGTTTCATTCATGCAGTAAAAGATAAGAACACCAAGATATTGAATTATTGTCCATAAATGTTCAAAATTCACCCACCAAATATTTTAAAGAAGATACATTTCTAAAGCTTTCAACTGAAGTATTCAGTTGAAGTTTAAACAAAACTCCATGCCTATTTGAAAAGCCTAATATCATTAACGCTAAATTGCTGAGAGTAGTATGCATTACCCGATCCGAGCATACCCCCCACCCTTTTGACGTCACATGATATGGTTGGTATGTGACCTTGAGTTGATGTGCGACCTTGGGTTGGTATGTGACCTTGAGTGTGCATGACGTTGAATTGGCGTGTGACTTTGAGTTGTCTAGATACATTATTATATGAGAGAGTGTGCAACACATGGAAATCATGGCAGATGAAGGTATCAAATGACATCGAAGAGAATTGTTTAATCATCTACTCTACTATATTAGCCAAATTTAGAATATGACTGCCGACCCTCGGGTATTATGTAGGACGTGTCACGGTGTTTGATGGTGGCTTGAGACCGCCATGGCATTATCTTAAACCTAAGTGTTACATTTGTAGGCTCCCATGTTTTCTGATGGTGGATACAACGGATTGTCTGGTATGCCATATGTAAACCCTGTATACAAAAATCGGCCCTTTTCAGGGCCACAAATACTTTGTAGTTTATTTGCTTACTGATGCTGATTGCTGATGAGCAAGAATCTGGCAGGCTCAATGTGTCCTCCTTGAACCCTGCCGAAATTGACAAACTCTATTCTTCTCAATATATGACACAATAGGCACTCAGTACGCGAAAGTAACATTAATATGAAAAATTTCTGACAATTGATGCAAAATTTCCATCGTGAAGCAGTTGTGATAAAGGAATAATTTGGCATTGGAGTATAATAAAACAACCTTTTTTTGTAAAGTTAAATCTAAGTCTATTACAATCATTGAGGTAGAATAATAAGGAGACGCTGTCATCATTTGAATAGTGCAATAGAAAACGACATCGGTAGGCGTGGCTAAGTGTCGGAACAATATGGCAACTTATACAGAGCCGAACTAAATGGATTTTAATCTAAAAACGTAAAAAAACCGAGATTACACCAAGGAAGAAAAAGTTGCTACAGAAACTTCAACATACTGAAACAGGAGATCCTTCCAAGACCCAAAATAGGAATTCTGGGCTTCAAAAATTTTTCGCAATTAAAAAATCTTCGGATGGAAAATGCGGCCCTGATGCAATTCTGACGCGTTGCTATGACAAAAGTGACAGAATCTCAGGCAGAAGTGTCGTAACAATATGGCGGAAGTGGATACGCTTTTTTCACCTGATGTCGCCTCCTTATTATTCTACCTCAATGATTACAATAAATCAAGTACAATGCTCCTATATGCGAAAAGTTGTAGTATAACATACCCGGGTTCGTTCAGTTTGAACGATGAGAATTTTTATTACCTTTTAATAGTAGGAGAGCCAGCGCCAAAAAAGTGCAAGAGTTTCATGAAAGTTGAAAATGTAATATAAGCTTGTATTTGTGATGTATATAACTATACTCGAGTCAGCAAGTGAGGTAGCGGGACAAGCTACGCCCTCGCACCTTTGAATGTGTAAAAAAATAATCGCGATGAAAGAGTTTCATGACAGCTGAAAATCTCTCAATCGATTGTTTATTTGATAAAAAAACATGACGCACATGGTCAGATAGCATTATGTTAGGACAACTAGAGTCAGCATGGCTATACAGGGTGGTCCATTTAACTTGAGACAGTCTAATATCTCGAAAACGGTGCGTTTTTGAAAAAAAAGTTCAAATAAAAGTTACATGGTATCATGTGGGAAACAAAATGGCGGTACTGATTTTTGACTTTGACAACGTTTTCAAGGTTATTTCAAGGTCAACTCTTTTTTTTTAATTTCTAATATTCTTAGGCTACGCCCCACTTTTCTTTCCCCTTTCGTCTCTACCAAGTTACCACTTGCCAAACTATAGATAATTTTATATCCTACTGAATTTACTGTATTTTGTCTATTTTTAAGTTTACAAAGTTTTACCTATTCAAGTTAAAAGCGGGAGTTATGGAGAAATCCTTAACTCCCTTGGGAGTTATGATATCCCCAAGTCCCGCGCGGGAGTTATGGAAATCCTTAACTCCCTTGGGAGTTAAGACCCTGTTTATGATTATCGTAACCAAGGTATTATATGGTTTTAATAGTTCAGTAGGATATAATAGTTATTTATGTATCAAGGGAATTATGAGGGTGTTAATACCCCAGGGCAGAGCTTGTGTCCCGAGGAACACCAATTGCCCGTGGGTATTAACACCTGATAATTCCCGTGGTACATAGATAATTTTATATCCTACTGAATTTATTCTATTTTGTCCATTTTTATAAAGAAATTAACCATTGACTACCTATATGAGCATTCAGGTGCGTTTCTATGTGCCTTGCTGGTACAAACAAGTCATAGACAAGTAGTAGGTACTATTGTTTGCCCAGCGGTTCTGAGTCTATGGAAGGAATTCGGACGTAAATGTGCGATGTTGCCACGTTTAATTATAAAAAAGCGAAAATACTAGGCATGAAGTATAGTTAATTTGAAAATCCATTTTTTGATAACAAAATATTGATAACAATAATAAAACGCTAAATATTTTAACGTGGTTGTTAGATCTATCCTTATTTTAATCCTGATTTCTTCAGTTTGGTCTATTGTAAAAAATAAAAAATTTCTAAAGATACCATCAGCTTTTGACAATTTGGCAAGCATCCGTCCTGGATGAACCTGATTGGTGGAGTTTTTGGCAGGATCGCCGTTGCCATGGGGAACCATACGGTTGTCAATCAGCTAACGTCACCTTACGTCTCGCCATTGGCCAGGGCTCATGTCATTTTATCCTCCCATCTTGGAATATCGATTTATATTGAAATATCCAGTGTTTTATTTTATAATATAGGTTTATTCAGGAACGTTTAATAGGCCTGTTCGCACAGAAATCACCTACCAGTCAGAGCAAATTTTATTGGTTTAAACTAGTTTTCTGACTGTTTCTGACTGTTTCCAACCAATGAAATTCGCTGACTGGTTTGTGATTGCTGTGCGAACAGGCCTAATATTACAATTATTATATTAATTGACAACAATTATCATATAACTATCAAACTGACATAACTGGTTTAACTGGTAAGTGTCTATTATTATAGGTAATTATTATGTTAATATTACCTATATTAACATCTTCCCCTTTAAATTCTAAATTAAATTTGTTTTATATTTTCGTAGAAACCGTGAGTTTCTTCGTAAAACATTTTCATTATCCAATGTTTTAATTAAATAAGATCTAGGCTGTGAACATTTACTAATAATAACTCCTGGATGCCAAAGCTTAGTAGAAACGTCTTGAATCAATACCTTTTCCTCCTCAACAAAATCAGTTTCACCGATACTATTTTTGTTGTAATACTCTTTTTGCCTGGTTTGCATATTTTTCATTTCTGTAAAAACTGCACTAGGTACAAGTTTCGGTATTAAATTTTCTGATAAAATTGGTAATTTGGATCTTAAAATTCTACTTGATATCAATTGTGCTGGTGAGTAAATAAGACCTGCTACAGGTGAATTACGATAATTTAGCAAATATAATTCCAAATCGATACCAGAATCATGTGCTTTTTTGAGCATAGTTTTGGCAATACCAACGGCTTTTTCCGCCAGTCAGTTAGATTGAGGATAATGTGGACTGCTTGTTTGAATAGTAAAATTCCAATCTTTAGCAAACATTTTAAACTCAAAAGATGAAAATGGCATATTGTCAGTAATTAGCAAAGAAGGAATTCCTAATTTACTAAAAACGCCTTTAAATTCTTTTATTAAAGAAGTAGAAGTTTTATTTTTAATCGGACAAATTTCAATCCATCTAGAAAAATAGTCCATAATAACAAGATAATTTTTACCAGCGTATTGTGCAATATCAGCACCAATTTTATAAAATGGAATATTAGGTATGGTATGATTTATAAGGGGCTCTTTTGACTTTGATCTGATATATTTTTGATATAATGACCAAGAAGACACCACGTTTTTAACATCATTTATGATTGCTGGCCAGTAAAAGAAATTTTTAACAATTTCAAGCACTTTAGATGCACTGGAATGTGTTTCATGTAATAAGTTTAACATAAATTTTCTCATTGAACTTGGTATCATCAATCGATCATTATAATAAAGTAAACCATCTACAAGTTCTATATTATTTCTTAATTTGTAATAATGAGTTAATTCACCGGTCATATTGAAATTTTTTGGCCAACCATTTTTATAAAAATTTATAATATTAGATAGAACACTATCTTTGAGAGATTCTTCTTGAAATTCTTTTAATTTTTCATCAGAAATATTTAAAGTTTTATCTGTTATTAGCCAGCCACACACGAAGATTTCGGCGCGCAAGTTTGGAATGTGCCGTTCCAAAAGTTGCAAGAGAAGTGTCAGTTAGTGGAGTGTCACGATAACAGGTTTTGCGCGTTCTGGCAAGTTTGGCGCGCAAATCGCACGTGCAAGAGTTAACTGCACATAAACGTAAGCTTCTTGTTGTGTTTCTGGAATTTGAATTTTCGATATGGGTGACAGTCAAAAAGTACTTAAGTATGATATTTAATAGAAATTACCATAGACTAATGGATTAGGTTTAATTAATTAAGCAAATAACCCTTAAAATGTAAAGGGGATACAAGAAAAAAAAAATCATAGT